TTCAACGAATATACAATAGCATATATACCATGGTCTCTGGACCCCCGACGGTTACGACTTCTTGATCGGGAACTACTGCTGACACGAGCGTTACCGTTAACTTTGCAATCACTCATTTTCACGATTATCGATAATCATACACGCACTGTTATTTACACATGTTAAGCCACAGTGCCTGTTCTTTCCATATCAGTAGCATATCACATATTACAAATCACATTCTTGCAATATAAAACTCTTTGTGCGGCTCGAGTTTCAACGGCTTATGTGCTGCTGCTGCTGCTGCACTGAATCAGTATTTATTTATAAATCTGCCAAAAGCTTGCCAAAACCGGGGTAGATGGATCCATGTTCACATGCGTAACAATGAGCAACCGTGAAGTATGCATTTCAAACTTTTTTTCTTCTTACAAGGGAAGAGAGCAGGAGAAAGTTAAGATTATATAGAGCAATAAAAACAGAATTCTTAAAACCGACAAAAAAGAACAGACCCTAATGATTTTAAATAAAAAAAAATTTTCATATAAAGACTTTTCAGTTCACTTTACTTGAAAATTGTGGCAACACTTCGAAACTTCCCTTAGAAGCTCTTCTTACGACTTTCACGCATCTATTTTAACCTGTGAACTGGTGCAAACCGACAGGCACGACACAGGATTTCTTAAATTAGTTCTGTTCGCCGGTTGCGCGTCGGAGCAAGCGCACTAGTAACTTTTTTGATAACCTAACTTAATATGCGAACTTCTTTAACCATAATATATTGACAGAAAAATTTTTGAAATCTTCTATTGAATTAATTATATTATAAAAAGAATTCGTAAATTTATAATTGTACATAGATATATAAACTAAAATATGAAATTAAAAATTTTAAGATGAAACGTGACAGCAGAAAAATAAATATAAATTATACATCGAAAGAATTGAGCAAATAAATTTTAATATATAATAATAAGAAAATCATTGAATAAATTATTTTTTTAAATAATAAATTATTGTCAATATTCTGTATACCGAAAAATTTAATAAATAGAATTTACTATTCTTCTTATTTCTACTTTATAGTTTATATAGTAATAATACTTAAATAATATAATAATATAAAAATAAAATTCATGTATAATTACATATAATTATATATATTTTATGTAAAATAAAATGTATGTCAAATTAAATTATATGTACAAGATATCACGTGATGTTACAACCAGAAAGGATTTTATAAATATAAATTAAAAATGAAAATAAAATTTTTTCATTTAAAATGTTCATGAATAAATCAAATTGAAAACAATATTTATACTTATTTTTTCCCTATATAAATGGATAATTAGCAAAGATTAGGTATATGTGAAAATGAATAAAAAATGTATAAAAGTACACAAAATATAACAGAATCTTTTGTTTAAGATTTTGTTTATGAGAAAATTGAGTTCGAATATATATAGCCAAAAATTATTTACATTCGCATATTCGATGAATTTTTTAAATTTAATCTTCTCAAAAATAAATTCTAAAATGAAAAAATTTTTTAGTTATTTTTCTATATAAATTAATTTCTTGTCAATTATTTATTTCTATGCAATTGAAATTAAATTTAATTAAATATCTTCTTGTAAATAAGATTTCAAATTTGATTTTTAAAAACAAAACATTAAATGAAAAAAAACTACTATTATATATACTAGGATATATACTAAAATTTTGCATATAATACTTCCATTTTGATTGTACCATTACTTATTTTCTGTACATTTTAATATTTAAATAATCAAACTAAGATAATATTTATCTTGTTACTTTCAAACAATTGTAAAAATTATATTCTTATATATTATTTTCTATCAGCAACTTTAAAATAATTCACTATGAAGTAGTGTTAATTTGATGCATGAAAGTAGCTTGAGTAAGATTTTACAAAAGCAGGTCGAGGTAACAATATCTAAAAAGAATACCAAATGATCATTGAAGATATACATAATATTTTTTCCGTTTCATTATTTTTTTTTTAAATCTAGTATAAATTTGATATATTCAAATAATATAAGAGTCATAGAGAAAATGATAATAAAATTGATTATAACATATGGTTTGCTATAGTACTATTATATACTAGGATATATACTAAAATTAAAACTATCAGTAAGAAACGAAGAAATATGAAAAAATTAATGAATAGATTTTTTCAAAATTATAAGTTTGATTTGCACAAACTTATGCTAAAATAATTATACAATTTATAGTTTCGATGTATAAAAAACAATTTATTATATAAAAGCAACTTTATTAATAAAATTGAAGAAACTTTTTATATTTTTATAGTTTATAAGTTTATACTTGAATATACTTTGAATTTGTTCATGAAATATATATTTAATATTACATTATTTTAATTTATCGGACTTTATCTTATGGAAAATATATGCAGTCCATTCGATCATTTTTCTAACCAGTAAGAACCTTTCACCCGATTGGTGAACGCTCAAGGTTACCACTGACGCCGAAAGTCTTAAGATATTTTTTGCACACGCACGACGCGTGCTCTTGTGAAATGGCGTTAAGAGACCTTCAAACCATGCACGGAGCTCGCCATACATGCGTGGCCGTGACCTCATGCGTTTTTAATGATCAAATAAATTATTTACTATAGTATCAAAAAAATCGATTTCTATTTCAAATTACGAAACAATTTTTTAAATTAGAATAAATAATAAAACTTTCAATGAATTAGATTTTTTATCAAGTTAATATTTTCTCATTTTAATTTTATTCAATATTATTTAATTTTGAGAATTATAAAAATTTAGAAAAATGAATAATAATAAAATGATAATAAAAAAAAATAGTGATACACCTATGCTATTTTTAGACAATCAAATATATTTCTTAATATAAACGATAATAGAATTTTTGAAATTCTGTTTATAAAAAAAATATTAATAATTCATAACTAAATTGATAAAATATAATACAATAAAGAAATATTAAAACAGAAAGAAGTGAATAAATTCAATATCAAATTCTTAATCTAATTTCAATTATTACATATAGAACTAATGATCAAATATGGAGTAACTATCTTTTGAGACCATTCACAAAATGGCTACATATTGATATATAAAAATATAAAATTATAATAATATTTATATATCTCATAAAAATAATTAAATAAAAAATTTATAAACTATAAACCTATAAACTTTATAAATATTTGATGAAAAATAAAATATTTAAGTATTATATTAATTTGGATACACGTGTTTAAAAGAGATGAAATTTAACTGTAAATTTTAATCAGAAATGCTTGTTTAAAAATAATTGAATATTTCTCTTTTAAATATATTTATTTTTCTTAATATCTTTCTTATTCTTAATTTTTATTAAATGCTATTTTTATCAAAACCATATATATAATATTCAATATACACTTGTGAGGTCAAAAGCAGCCATATTTGAACACAGTTATAGTTTAATCTTTGAAACAAATTTTATAATTTAATATTTACTCTTGAACAAAAAATAATATAATAAGTTTGGATAAAGAAAAATATTAATTATAAATATATAGTTCAATGATTAAATGAATATTAGTATTATAACTAATCTTACATTTGAGAAATGTTCGGAACAAAATGTCGGAACCACGTTGCAGAAAGCAGATACATTGCGTCTATAGCTATTGAAGATCGCTTCAAAGTAACAAAATAATTTATACATACATTTTGAATCAAGATAGTTCTCTGCCGTCGCCGTTGCATCCGCTTGATCACTTTGTCACAGTAACAATAATTTAAAATAAAAAAGTAAAAAATGTAATAAAACTTTTATCCTTTAAAGCCGGTACGTAAGACTTCGAAGTTAAAAATAGAATATATATTTTATAAGAAAAAGAAAACGATGCGTGTAAAGGGCGCTCGTTATAATTAAATAAGAAGTTATATGTACAAATTCTACCAGATATTATAACACAAAAAAGAAGCCTTATAGGAACGGGATGCAATAAAACGCAATATATTAAGCGTATTCGTTACGTTGTGATGTATAAGAGTTAGAAAATGAATAACTTTTTAAATAGTATGAATGTAAGTATATACTTATATATAACTACGAATATACAAATGTTTAAAAAAGTAATTATAAAGGAAAAGGGAAATGGGAAAAACGGAGTAAAAAAATACACCCGGCTAGCACAGCACGTGCTGGCTACTGGAGGAACTCCGTTGTTCGATGAGAAAAGAAGTCGGGAACCTCCCTCCAGCAATAAGATCGTCAATGTTCGTGCACCTTCGGCACATTTCGCACCTTTTCGTCACATGATGATGTCACCATTTGGCACGAAGCTCCTTTCGGAGTTCTATACTTCTATGCTTTGCGTTTCAATCATTGAAAGAACATCCGTTCAACATTAAAAACAATATTGTGCAATAAACTATTATTATTATTATTATTATTATTATTATTATTATTATAATAATTTATTCCTATTTTATTAATAATATTTTTTAATTTTGAGAACTACTTCAAATAAGCAATTAAATTATAGATACAACATGATTTAATTGAAAAAAATAAAGTTATTAGTGTTTTATTTAATGCAATTAAAAAACAACTTTACTGTAATGAACAATATCATATTTATATCTCTGTTCTTTTATTGGAAATATTTAAATCATATTTTTTTCTAAGATATAACATTTATAATGCAATATTATAAAATTAAAATGTGCTAAATACAAATAAATGTTTTATCCAATGTCTTTATAAAAATAATTACATATTAATTTAATCTTCTTTTTCTTCCCTATTTTTAAAAAATCTAAATTATTATACTAATTATTGATATACAAATAAAATATTTGTACTTTCATTCTATGAAGATTATATCAATTATGAATTTGAAAATTATGATTCAAATATCATTATTTCAATTGTTTGAATATTTAAATATTTTTCAATATTAGAAATGAGTGAGTACTTGTTATTTTAAAAATTTTATAAAAAAAAAATGTTATTTTTTGCATTATTTTAAAAAACATTCAATATCTTAATTTTTTTATAACCAGATAAATTATTTAAAATAAAATTTATATGTAAACACAAAATTTAATAAATATTTTATGAAAAAAGTACAAAACTTTTACGATAAAATTAAAATAAGTCATAGCACAAAAATATTCAATTTTGATTAATAATATTCTAAAACAACAATAATATTATTGTTAATATTGTATAATAATAATATTATAAAACAATAATAATATTATATAATATTATAAAACAACTATGTGAATTCATTTATAAATATTTTGTAATGTATAAAAAGAAGAATTTAAAAATATCAAAATTTATTTGTATGTGAATAACTGCAGAAATTCATTTTTTTTTTACATGTCATATATACATGCCTAAATAAAGACACTTTATGAATAAACATATTATATATATTATATGTTATATATTAATGATTTCTAATGATTTTAGAACTTATATATATTATCAAACATGCATAAAAATATATTAATTAAATTATTTATAAATATTTAGATATAAAATTATATGCAATGATGAGTATTGAAACTATCATAGAGATAAAGTTTAAATTATAATAATATATGAAAAGAAAGAAAGAAAGTTATTAAAATTCTAACCTATAATTCTAATTAAATATAATAAAATCTTATAAATTCTTATTTAAAAAAAAAAAATTGCAATATATAAATGCAAAATGTATATTATATGATAAGTAAAATAATTCATAATATTATAAACAAATAATTTTTTTTTTCAAATATAAATTAATTAATTTTATATATGAAATGAACAAATGTATATCATATATTAATATGTATATCATATATCCATTACAAATATTTATAACATTTTAATTTTAATATAATATAAAAAAATGAATAAATATTAACATAAAGAAAATAGATAAATCAAAATATTGAAAATATTTTTAAAAAATATAGATGAAATATTTTTAAAATATAATATATATAGATATCAAAAAATTATATTACATATATTTTTGACTCTAAAAAAATTTAAAGATAGATAAATATTTTAAAATGATATATCTACAAAATATATAATATAAATATTTAATAATTCTTTAAACAAAAATAGTAATAATAAAATTGTAACATATACTCATAAAAGTTTAACTAAAATTTTTTCAAATAATTTTTTCAATAATCTTTTTTTTAATTTTCTCTTCTATATAATATAATATAATAATTTCTGTAAATTTATTTTTATTTTTTAACAAATATTTAATTTTAAACAAATATTTAAAATTTAGCAACAATAAAGTAATTTTTTAACCTATCATAATATTATCATAAAAACAGATTTAAGAAAAATAGATATAAAATTTACATCATGCATTAATTTTTTGACTTTTATTTTAATTTTTCTATTTATAATTTAAAAGTCCTTTTATAATGTTACTCAAATATCAAAATATAAATAATTTTTAAATATGATATTTGAGCATTATTATGTTGATTATATTATTCTGATAACTATTAATTATATATCTAATATAACTATTAATTATACAATTTTAACATGTAAAAGAAATAAAATAGTATGTAAAACGAATAAAAAATTATAACATTTCAAAAACTTACCATCAGATGATTTTTGCTGTTGTACTTCACTTCGAACAGGTTCAGACTCCGGTTTATCGCCAGTCGCATCTCCATTCGCTTTCAAATGATGGTCAGTTTGATTGTGAGTAGGTGTAGGAGTAGTGCCTCTAGAATTAAGACTCTTTTCCCTCGCTTTTTTTTCTTTTTGTTCTTTGGCACTCGACGGCAACTCAGTTGCACCAGTAGAAACAGCAGCAGTAGCAACAGGTTGATTATGAGTGTGGGTCTGGGACTTTCTTCTAGGTGGTGAACTCGATGAATTTTTATTGGATAAATTAGGAAAATTAGGAAAAGGATCTCTGGCAGGAACAGGATTAACACTTGGGGCAGTGGTGGACGGTTTTGGGACCTCCGGAACATTCGTACTTGGTATAGTCACAATGGGAATTGACGTCTGTGTTATAATAGGTGTGGCACTCGTGTTCTTGACTTCAACTTCAGTTACGGGTAACTGCGCAGAAATATCATCCTTGTTTACGTTACGCGATACGGTTAGTGGTGGTTCTTCAATGACCACACTTTTCGATTCACTTCGAGGTTGAAATTCCTTCACAGGAATTTGTAATTGTTTAGACTCCATTTTCATTATACAGGAATCTATTTGAGATACGTTATTAGTGGTACCTAACGACTGACTACATATCGTGGCTACGTTAGGTATATTCTGCGTTGTTGAACTTGTGTTACACTGACTATTCACATCATTAGTAGAATTTGTTTGAGAATTAGATAAACTTTGTGTTACATTTTGAGTTGTAGATGTGTTTGGTACACAAGTCGGTACCGTCGAGTCAGAATTAGACTCTTCGGTCACGACTTTCGCAAGTGTTTTTGCAACCCGGGCTGCAAAGTCGGCTTGCACCTCAGCATCATTATTCTGTAACAATCACCAATTCTGCGTGATAGACAATGATACATAGCAATCGGATAAAGATTATGCTTGATAACTAAAAACTGGCTCCAAACTTAAATCATAGAAGACGAGAAATAAAACTAAATATACTAAAAGAAATAAAATAATAAACATTCAATATATTTTATACCTCTGTAACCCCTCAGCCATGGTTTGCATACTATAAGCAGAATCATAAAACTGTATGTAAGTAATATATTTATATAATAATATATATATATAATCCAGATAAAAATAATTCCTAATTTAAAACTACAATTAAAGTTTGTTTTATTAATTTCTTCAAATTTCCATCAATTTATATCAATTCTAATTTAATATTACTACTATTTCTACTAATACAAAAAATACATTACTAAGAATTTTCAAATACAAGTTATTAAAAATATAAATATTTTAATGATCATGGCTTTGGGTACAGATTAATAATATAAACAATGGACTATAAGAGAATATTTCTTATTCTCATTTAGTTTCTTAAAATTATTTATTTAATATAAGAAATATAATTTTAATTTTATATTCATTGTTTTTTTAATTATCTCTTATAGTCAATTGTTAGTATATTAACATTCTAATATTACTCACTTGTGGCTGAGGTGTTTCACGATTGCTAGATTCACCACTTTGAATAGTTTCATTATCTTTATAAATCTCATGGCTTATATTTTTACCAGTTGATGGATCTACTATATCAGTAATAGCATTTTGTCCTCTTGGTTTCCGAGATTTTGTCGTACTATTTGTCGTATTCGCTGCACCACCGTTATGACCCGAATATACATCTTCAAATAAAAAAAAACATGATTCACAATATATACAATATATACAAAATAAATAATTTAATTAATTGTATCTTAATTACACAAATGTAAATATTTATTAATAATTTGTATTTACACATACATATATTTATAATAATTACACATAACACATTATATATAATGCACATTTCTATTTTATAAATAATATATATTTTTCAAATACATTTATTTAATTAGTAACATACCATTATACATTATATATACATTATTTATAATATCCATTGATCAAAATTGAATAAAATAGTATATATTTCAACTGATATAAAAGTACAACTGTTCTATTTCTCAAATGTATCTCTGCACTGATGCAAAAATACAACTATTCTATTCCTTGAATGTATTTCAACTGATGCAAAAGTACAACTGTTCTTATATTTTAACTCACGATATTTCTACCTGAGTCCATTAGTAAATCTTTTAACTTCTTCGGTACGACAATCGGTCATCGCAAAGAAAATATATAGACAATATAATAGACAAATATATAGACAAATATAATAGACAAAAATACAGGTATAAATACTAAAATCGATTACGGTATTGAAGAATAAGAAGAATAAGAAGAATAAGAAGAATAAGCATAAGCTGTCAATTAAAGTCGACATTTTTGTCGACTAAGAAGATTAAACAGGTATAATGGCTTAATAGCCAAAAATTTAAGTCTAGAAATTTAAGTTTTATTTTGCTTTGAATTCTTAAGTCATAAATAAAATGAATTGTACTTTCTACATTTTTTTCAGGTATATTTCATTACTTCATATTTTTCTTTCTTAAAATATTTTATTTTAATAAATTTATTAACCATAAATCATTCATATTTTATTCATATTCATATTTAAATTTGTTAGAAACGTTTAATTCATAATAATAATAAAATAATTTTTGAACTATAAAATTAAGTTTTTCTAAACTCAACATAATTTTTTTAAATGTCAAAAAAAATTATACAAGATTATAATTTTCATAAAAAATCCTTTTAAAAAATCTTTACACATACATGATTTGATTATAAAACTTAATTACAAAATTTACTTTTTATCAAAAAAAATCTAACAATCTAAATAATTGATGATAATTAATGGTATTAAAATATAATAGATGTATAATATTACATAACTTACCAGTCTGAGAAAGAGATATACCCATTGGGGGTAAAGGTTGCGCTTGTTGTGTGGGCTGTTGAAGTGTACCTTGTGGTACTACTGGGGCTCCTTGGGCACCGGCCAGCGGGCCTGCAACATGTTGTGCCCCACCAGTAACAGCGCTTGCACCTGCCCTACTTATTAGTGGTGTATTCGGTGGTTGACCAGTAGGCCAATAATCTATAAAGAAAAATATAATAATGATTAAATTTATTTTTAATTTCTATAATTTTACATTACTTACAAGGTTGAGGAGTTGGTGCAGGTGCACCATATCCAAACATATTTTGCGTTAGAATAGCCGAATGTTGAAATGGTGGGAAATACGACTGATTTTGATGCGTTTGATGCCTCTGAGGAGGACCACCGAACTAAAATAATAAAAATATTTATTACATTTACAGTTATTATCAATAAAAATAGTGAATATGATAATGATTTTATACAAATATTTGTGATTAAAATAAAAAAAAAATAAAGTTTAAATTTTATTATAAAAATAATAATCAAATAAATTTTTCAGAAAAATTATTTTTTTAATATAAATGAAATGAATGATATATGATGATAAATATATAAAATCAACAGTACTTAACTACTACCTGAAGGGGCATTTGATTGTTCATTGCGTATAAAGATTGTTGATGTGGGCCAGGATGAAGATTAGGAACTGGATATATTGCTCCAGTTTGAACTGGCAAACCACCTGGGTGATAAATCGCAGTTGGTTGGCCTCCACCTCCACCAACTCCTGACATTCCTACAACTTGTGCACCTGTACCTCCTTGTCCTCCTCTGTGACTAATGCCTCGAGGTTGTTGTGGTCTAGGTCCTTGATAGTAACCCTGAAATTGACAATTAAAATAATAAGTAAAATTTATAAATATTTCTTTAATCATTAATAAAATTTATATTAATAATTGATTTAGAATTGATAGAATTTATAATATAGTACTATTTATAGCATAAAATTCATAAAATATTCGTAATATACGAATTTATATCACTGATATCATAAATGATATTATTTCTATACTTTTATATTTCTTACTTGTGATGTCGGCCTTGTTTGCGTTGGCCCATATACTTGTGAAAGAGGTTGTGGTTGAGGTTGTAAATGGGCCTGTTTTCCCATTTCCTGAGGTGACGGTGTGTGTACCGGGGGAGTAGTGGTGGGAGCCGGACCTTGCGGCGGTTG